AAATTATAATACAAATATGTTAATTATTACGTATAAATTTTTATCGATTTTGTGCATTTAATTAATAATCTAATAATGTACCAAAACTTTTTCATTTGTGATATTCAAGTAGATAATAATGTTTTGCTTTTATGTAAAGATGTGAAAAAATTGCATTAGAATGCAGCATTATAAGTTTGGGCAAAGTAAGTACAAATATTATAAAAAAAAAAGAGATAAAAGTAGTAAGAAAAATGCGGCCATACATCGATATTCTATTAAAATACTTTAAGACAATTTTTTCATTCATTTCTTGGATAATGAGGAATTATTTTCAAAAGAATATAATCTACGTGATTAGCACATTAAATATTTTGACCTTATATTGTTAAAAAAAAAAAAAATTGAATAAGTACTCAAGAAAGCCAGTTTTACATTACAATTATTAATCAATTCATGACTTATAATAATCTTAGCATTAATTTATAAAAGTGGAGGATTAAAAGAATTATCGTGCATTCTTAGCTTCCAACACTTGTGACGTTAATATTTATATTTGTCATTCATCACAGAATGAATTTATATCATTATATCACTTAACGATTCAAATTGTATATTTATCTTGTGAATTGATACCATTATCTGAAAAAGATAATAATGCCGTGATCTAAAATCATTAAAAATCAATGTAGTTTTACTACTTTATTACTCTAGATTTCTAAGTTATATTTGGATTAAGAAATTTGTATTATCATGGTAAAAAAATAAAAAAAATTAAAAAATAAAAATGAATAAGAACGCTATTTCTATAAATTGATAGTTAGAAAACCAGGTCAGAGTTAAGAAATAATATTATTAATTCGTAATAATTTTATTTTAATTGTATTTTTTCATTCACGTGTGAAATAGTTTTACTATGTAAACGAGATTATGGCTTATAATGACAAAAAAAAAGATGATAAATAAAATTAATCTGAACGTATGTGTATGAATAATACAGTTAGCTATTATGAAAGTGCACTATATGAAATTTCATTGAGAGATCTGAAACATAATAATAATTTATATATTGATTAAAATTTGCATGTATAATGAAAATTCTTATAAACATGTAGATATCAATAATTTCCAAAATACTATTTACGTTATGATTAAATTACAATCAGCAGAAGCTTATGTGAAAAATTAAAGTCTATGGTCAATTCAAAATTCAAAATAAAATTCTATATTTTATCCAAGATTTCATAATTTATATGTGTAAAAATTATACGCATATGACTGAAATATTGTAAAATATAATATATTAGTAAGAATTAGTATAATTTTTTACACTAATAATAAAAGCGTCAGTTGTAAAAATATATGAATACATAATCATAGATATTTGAAAATATATGAAATTACCGTTAAACTTCATTGCAACATCTTTCACATTATTGATTTATACTTCGGTTAAATAAAAAACAAATTCTTTCATTGATTATTGTTATATTAATATTCAATTAGTCATAAATATGTAAATAATATTTTTTTTTAAATTTTTGATTAGATTACAATTATCTTATCTGCATTCCTATAAATAAAATTTTATTTAAATATTCATTATTAATTTATTAAAATAATTAACTTTCATTTTAGCTATTTTTAATATAATTTTCTTTAATATATTAAAATAAAATATCAAATTTTATCTTAATAATGTATTCTCAATATCTTTCATTTATTAAAAAATTTTCTTATTACAATGTTTGTTAATTTTAAAAGTTAGCAATAGTTTACAGGAAAAACTCGACAAAACTAAAAACTTCTCTTTAATTTCGACTTACGTCAGCAAAAATCAATAAAATAAAATTTGAATCTAAATTATTATTTTTTTTTTTTTTTTTTTTTTTTTTTTTTTTTGTATATAAATACATGTTAAATATAAATTACAATATCATTATTAGCATTATCCATACAATTTCACAAATTGCGCATAATCTCATATTATGTCTTTCTCTCTGTGTTTGAATGTTTGTACGTTTGTATGTGTTCGCCAGTGCGTGCATTTGTCCATGCGTAAGCGTGTGTGTGCGTGCGTGCCTCGGTTAATTACGATATAAAAATAAATAATAATGTTCTCAATTTATATATGTGGATATAATGCAATGAATTTAGATAATTATTTAAATATTTATAAAAATTCAATATCATTATTATATGAACTGTTTACAAGATAATTTTATAATGTTATTAGTACTTAATTCATTCGTATCTGTTCTCAATATATGTGAAATATATTTTGTAAATAATATTGGCTGTATTTATACAACGAAATTCGTAATTAACAAATATTTTTAAATATTTTACTCCACGTACTGAAGGTCATCACTACGATTATTTTAGCCTCATATAATTTAGTTTAATCGAAAGGTATTTTGATAATATGAATAATAATAATTTATGTTTTATATAATAAATGTTTCATTAACAATTTATTCTAGAAACTATAAGTAGTATAATATAAAAAATAACTTATTAAAATTAAATGGTTTATTGGAATAAACAGTTGCAAATGAAGTACTTTTCCACCTGAATATTTCGAATAAATGGTCGACCATCTTATTAAATATTTTGGTTTTTAAAGTCAGATCTCTTTTATAATTTTAAGTTTGAGAAAAAAAAACAAAGTAAATGATCAACTCTAGATTTTTTATATGTACATTATGTAATTTTATTCTTGCAAAAATACACATAAAATGGTAAAGTAATAAAACGCGATCGGCTTTCACTGACTTCCATTCATATTATTTAGGAAAACATTTGCTCAGTTTCAGATCCTTTGACTGTGTCGTTTATCAAGAGTGAAAATTTCAGCGAATATACCGGCTTATTCGAGAGAGAGAGAAAAGTAATAAATAGAAAACAATATATTCTGTTCGAATAAATTTTATTTCAGAGTGAAACTCAAAAAAAATATCATAACGAGATTTCCTCAAATGCAATTGTGAAAGTGTTATTATTTCTACACTGGTCATTTAATGCTCTTGTTTACAATATTAATAATGGAATTTAATTAACCTAGAAACGTAAATTTAATAGAATTTTGAGTTTTAATTTGAAGAATAATTAAATTAGTAAGAGAACTGTTCATAAATTTTATTACAATAAAAATATTTTTTCTATATTAATATAATCCTACGTTGCACAAATAAACATTTTCTCCTTACTTTTTAACTATAAATTTTTTATTAAATTAAATTTCATTTGTCATACAATGTTTGGCAAAAATATTTCATTATATTTATAAAAAAAAAAAAAACAATATTAATGCTTGTTCATTGAAAAATGAATTTTTACAAGCATCGGTGAACGTTAGTAGAATTTTTGAATTTTTTGATTAATTTGACAAACACGCCTTGCATCAATATATACATTATATTAAAAAAAAAAAATTAACATTAATTAATGGGCTTATTATTATCGAGTAATATGTTGATACTTACTTTCGTTTACGGACATAAAGCGATAAATTTTAGTTAATAAATTATAATAAATTATAGTTAATAAAAATAATAAAAATAAATGTTAACAATATGTAAATAACTTTTAAGATTATAATAAATTTATTATTGCAATATGTATTTTTTGAAGATATGAATAGGATTTCCATTAACTTCATGCTTTATGCTGTGATTATTTCTACTTTTCAAATAAACTCTTAATTAATTAATAATACATTAGTAAGTGTTTTAATTATACAGTTGTAAACGTTTTTATTGTAAAAACCATATTGGACAGCCGAATTTGAAATTTTATGGAATTTTATGGATTCATAGTGAAACTTAAAATTGATAATATAAAATTGTTATTCAATATGATTTCCCGATGCTCAAAGTAACTATATAAAACTTGATCATAATCTATTTTCTGTTGTTTGTGTTCTTCGTCAAGGTACAGTTTTTTTCATTAATTTAATATAATCTCAAATAAGAGTTTGAAATAAATCTTTTAACGTACCGATCATTTGTATTAAAAAAAAAAGAAAAGGAGAAGAAAAATAGAAAAAAAAGAAAAACTTTTCTACATAAAATTATTTATTGATTTCAAATTTATAATAAAAAGTTTTTATTTGACAAGAGCGGGTACGAATTTCTCAAAGAAATTTGTTCTCTTTTATGGAATATAATTGCCCTTGAAGAACTAATTTACTTTGAAATAAAAATATAATAATAATCATTGTCAATGAGCTTTAAAGGAAAGGAGATTAAAGTTTTTTTATATGACAAAGCCAACCTTTCCAATAAATTCCAAAAAAAAAAAAAAAAAAAAAAAAAAAAAAAAAAAAAAAAAAAATGATAAGATCGAACGAGTTAATGGGATTTTCAATTAGAATAGGAAAAGTAGGATTTACTAAAAAAATTGAAAATTTCGAAATTGGATTAATAGCACAAGTAGTCGTTTTAAAATTGAAATGTGACACAGGTAAAGTAATTTTTCTCTTTTTGCAGGTACACAAAGCTGTTGGAAAAGATGTGATCGGTTGGATGGAAACCCAAATCCGGAAAAAATCGTGGAGAGCGATAATCGACACGCCGTATGTCATCCAGTGCGGGTGAAATAAGGAAATTATTGAAATTAGAAAAATAATTCGCGATAATATAATCGCGTGTATCGCGCAGTGTCCGAATGAATGAGCAAAAAGGGGGAAATTCCAGGAGATCGGAATTTCCTTCAGAATATTGGGCGACGGGTGAAGGTGTGAGCGGCAGTGCTGTACAAGCGTGATAAGAAGATACTTGATAGACTGACTGGATCGCTCAACGCGAACGACAATAGGTCACTGGAGAAACTATCGCGGATATTAAATCTGGCGGAGGGAAAACAAGGGACGCGTTCGTTACCTGCGGATTATTCGTTTTTACGTGCCGTAGTGTGAGAACAGAAGGAAATAAATAGAAATAGATAGAAATAGCGTGAGTGTGTTGGTAAGGGAGAGGGGGAGAGAGAGAGAGAGAGAGAGAGAGAGAGAGAGAGAGAGAGAGAGAGAGTGAAGGACGCGCGCGATAAAAGTGAGCTCTCGAGCCATGCGAATAGGACATGCAGTGTGACTCGGGAGCAAGGAGGACCGTCGTCAGCATCCCCGGCGTCATTACCTGAAGGAGCGGGAAAATGAGCTCGATCGACTTCGACGAGGTGCTCGTGCACGTCGGGGAGAAGGGACGCTACCAGAACATCATGTACTATCTGCTCTGCATACCGGCTACCTTACCAGCCGCTTTCCTCGCCTTCTCCCAGGTCAGCACTTCCGCCTAATCTTCTTAGCTCTGTTGGGATGACTTTTAACTAAGACCGCGGAGTGTCATGGGTGCACACGTCAACGACGCTCGCCTAGTCGCCGATGAATTTCGCCACCGCGATTTACCCAATACTGGCTCCATGGAATCGATCATCTGCCGATAATATTCTTATCGAGAGACGGCGATTTTTGTATCAAGCTCCGATCAAAACTTCACGTCCCTTTGGTTAATTTAGCAGTGTGTGAAAGTCGAGCTTGAGTCCTCGGTGTCGAGCCGTTGAAAATAATCTCGCTGATGAATAATTCACTGGCGGACTTGGGCAACTTTCTTCCCTTATCCGGGCGACGGAAATTTGTTCGACAGTCTGCACTTTGTATTAGTCGGCTTCTTCGTAGTTCTTCGAGTTGGCTAAGCCTCGACTTTAAATTCATAATCTAATGCCTCGGTTCCCCTATTATCAGCGTGCTGCCGTCATAGCTTCTTTAAAATTAAAAAATGAAAAGCACGGTTATGGATGTTTTAGCCTTAGAGTCCGCGTGACGCGTTACAAAATCCGGATGATATAAAAAAGTTTCCGCGGCCGTAAATAAAAGATCCTACGAAGTTTGTAAGGCAGTACGTAACCTATTACAATGACAACATATAATATACTCATATAATAATATTAATGCTGAAACTGCAATTGCTTAATTCTTTTTGTAACAAAGTAATTTATCGGAAAAATGCTTTTACGAATTTGCTTTTACGAAGCGGATTAACTAAGAATCTAACTAAATCAATCGACATTCCATTGGCTACCAAAGCTAAGAAAAATTAAGCTGTGAACTAATTTAATCATTGCCTTTACTATTATAAGATAAGAACAATTTTTTTTTATCCAATATACTAGTTAATTTTACGTTATTTTGCTCTATATTTTCATCTACATTTTAAATTAATTAATTTGTTTCCGTGTAATAAACAGTATTAGTCACGATACGATTATATAGCATAAAGCATGTAAATACTTTTTCAAATAATTTTGTATTAATACTTCAGTACTATTAATACTTTTATAATAATCTCATAATATTCTTATGCGGATAATATTTATAAGAAAGAAAAAAAAAGAAAGAAAAAACGTATTTATTATATATTAATAGTATATTGATATTTAAAATTCATATGATATTGCTTTTCTTATAAATTTATCCAAAATTTTGAGCTTTTATTGCAATATGACGCGCAATAATATTTTCATTATCAATTAGTATTAGCCATTGATATTTTAAAATATTAATCGCGGTATCTGGAATACATCTATTTCGAAAAACATATTTCAATTGCTTAGTATATATTAAAAAGCAATTGAAACATTAATACATTATGCACTTAAAAGTTTTCTTAATAATAAATCAGACCACCTAACTTTAAAGAGAAATGCGCGGACTTTATACTCAGCTTGAACAATATTCCAATCCTATCGCCATCTACATAATGATATTTTTGATTTTTCGATATTCCACTTATCAATACCACTAATAATTATCATATGTTTAATAAATTTATTTCACCACTAAAGTAGAACTTGCATATTAGAATGAAAAATTAAATTGTTTTATGTTTACATATCATTTCTACAACATAATCTTACGGCTTTCATAAAAAAAAATTTTTTTTCTCGACGCTTATCCATTAAATTTATCTTTGTATCATAATTATGTTTAACTTAAATGCTGTTGTGATTATCTTGATTTTAATATAAACAAAAATTCATTTGTTTTTAATTCATAATTATTTCATGATGGCAAACATGAATTCGGTAAATTTAATACCATTTATGTAAAAATTTCAACATTTAGCCCAAAAAAATTATTCGTTATTTGATTAGAACTTAATTTTTTCTATTTCATATATATTGAAAGGTAAAAATAAAAATAATAGGCTTTATATACAAAAAATATATATATATATGTGTGTGTGTGTAATTTTATTTAATATATTAAAAAGTATAATGATGCCACAAAATTTCCATTTTACTTTATAATATTTATGCATTAACAACGTTTATTCAACTTTATAAATCACGAAATAAATCATTTCATCACACTATGGTCTAATTAAGTTTAATTACATTTATGTATTTATAAATGGGATTATCAAATATGCATTATAATATAGAAATAATATTTTAATACAACAAAACTTTATGTTTCATTTGAAAAACAAACAAAACAAACAAAACACTATAATTCATATAATTTAACTAGAAGTAATTCCAAGTAACTCATGCAAAACAATAAAATATTTAGATAATTATTTTAGAAAATAATGTTTATTTGAAAAATAAATTTATAACAATATATGATATTTTGCCTCAATGCTGAAGTGCGTGCAAATTGTAAAACGGTCGACTCATTGTATATTGCAATTTATTTCTTAAGAAAAATGTTTTATAATTGAATGTGATTAATTTAAGCAATTTTTCACAATTTATTCAGTAGTATTTTTAGAAATAAATGACGAAATGCTTATTTACAAATTTTTACAAGTTTCATTAAAATGGTTTTTTAAATTCAAAATTTCAAGAGGAACAATGAATATTCTTATCAATATATGAATTAAAATGCGATAAAAATAAGAGTTCAATTAATGTTCATAAGTGGCATATCGATTTTTCATTTCATCTAGAAGTATTTTCGTTTAATTTATATAAATATTTCTGTTTGCTTATCTTAATTTGTAATGCATATTATAAATGGTAAATACGTATGCCTTATAACTTAAATGAATTAAAATAATATTATCATTATTATTATATATGTAATATTTAAATATGATACAGTGTGTATTCATAATATTTTTTATTTTTATGTGATTAAAATTCATTAAAGTTTTAATATAGTTTCTGACAAATATATATAATAAATATAAGAACAATATTACAGAAAAAATTTTTATTTACGTTATACTTAAATATGCTATTTTGGTGTGGAAATATTATGAAAATAGGGTTTTTTTTTTTTTTTTTTTTTTTTTTTTTTTTTTGTAACAATATATTATAAATTATATGCATATAATTATAAATAAAGTATTTGAATGCTTTAGATAAATAATTTAAGCATAGATAATTCCCTATGTTAACGATCAATTAATGCATTTATCACTCGAGTAAGTATTAATGTTATATTGTATTTTCTTTTATTCGTAAGGAAGATGAATGAATAAGAAAGTACTATTATATCCCGTCTCTACTGTTTACAACTTTCTCAAATTTAGCAGATTTTCTTTAGTAGAAAAATACGTTAGATATACATTAACGTATCCTTGAATGTTATTAAAAAAGTTGGTTTTTAAATCAAGAAAAGACGCACCGGATAAATTTTATTATTCACATAATAAGGGCCATATTTTTAAAGTTTTTATTACTATCCGAGTGTTTTATAAATATAGTCGATTAATTTAATGTTTCTTATGATTCTTAGAAAATTTCTATTTTTACCTTCAATATTAATAAAGCATGTTTTGAGTTACAGCTTTTGACTAATAATCTTTATCAATATAGTTATTCTTTCTCTAATCTATAAATTATGCAATGAAGCAATAAAATAATATGTTGAAACGTATTTACGAATTGAAATTATATTCATGTAGCTTGTATAATGTTATTTTATTAAATTCAGTAATTCAATATTGTTATTTAATATATTTTTACTCGTGATCATTATAACAATGTTCTATATTTGAATTAATATTATCTTTAAGTGTAATTACCTTGTCTAAAGTTTTTCCATCCTTTTATTTTAATTTTAATTTTAATTTTTAAATAAAATAACCTTTCAATTATAATAAAGTAAGTTTGGCAAATGTACTGAGAATCAACAATTTAAATTTGTAATTTCTTTAAAAGTTGTCTATTCTGTAATTACGTTTCTTCAAATTCAAAATATGATGTCATGATGTATAGCTTATAACAATTTGAGCTTAATACTTGCGAAATAATAATATAGTGACAAATTTTCATTATCTATTTTATTCTAGAGTTTATTAATTATATTTTAAAGTTTCTTACAATGATTTCTTGACATTTCATGATGATTATTGAAAATCATTTTATTTGGTGACAGAATAATTCTTTCATACGAATGCTAGATACATCATTATAAATAAATACGATATCGTATTTCGCTTCTTTTTATTTATTTATTTATTTTTTTTTTTTTTTATTAATCGAACAAAGTTAAATAATAATCAATTGAATTATATTTGTATTATTAAAAATAGATTTATCGTAAAGGGATTAATTTCCCTGTGTCCCATATTATATTTTCTCATATATAAATAAGATTTAAAATTATGGAACAATATTTACAGAATTTCTATTTTTTCTTTCTTTTTTATTCAAATTATTTCAAAGACATTTCATTTTATAGGAAAGTTGACATTCAGCTTTAAGCAAAGAACAATAAATTATTATCCGCGACTACGCTGTATCAGCAATATCCATACTCGTTAAAAGTAATTTTTCTATTCGAATGATTTATAATTGTACGGCGCAACATGTACACCACCTAAGCTAACTAAACCCTAATGGGCGCGATAATATCGAGGATTTGAGCGTTCGGAAATCATAATTGCCTGGACCGACGGAATGGCCGACGGGAAGCCAATGAGCAGGACATAAAGATATTATTATTCCCATTGTCGCAGGTGTTCGTGAGCGCTTCGCCGGAACACTGGTGCCGGATACCAGAGCTAGACAATCTGACGAAGATCCTAAGTCTGGAGGATCGCAAGGCCCTTTCCTTGCCCTACAAAAATAAGTCGGACAGTAAGCGCGACTACTCCAAGTGCCTCATGTACGACGTGAATTACACGGCGATCATCGAGTCCTGGCTGAGCGCCTCCTACGGAGATGGGAGCCCTGGGTCCTCGGTGGACGTCCTCGGGCCCGTCTTCGAGGATGTGCTGCGGGTCGGCCTGCCGCTGGACGGCTTCGGCGACGAGTCCCGCAGCTCCACCGTCAATCCGGCCTCGCTCCTTCGCTTCCCCAGGCGCCTGCCCCCGCCCCCGGTCAGCGACCCCAGCTGGCCCATGGTCTACTGTCGCCACGGCTGGAACTACGACAACAGGGACTACGACAGCACCCTCGTTACCGAGGTAAACTCGACAAGAGCAGCTTTCTCGAACCCTTCACGCCTCGACTCTCCTCATACTCGAGCGACCCTTTCGTCAAGGTCCCGCGCGCTCCTTATCCGCTGCCATCACGCACGCTATCGGAACCTCTCGGGCACGCGTTGCTCGATACAACACGCGTCAGCCAGTGTGATTAGACAATTATTATCTAACTCGGCTTATCGTCGACAATTCAATATTGGCTTGTTTATCCCATACGTTGGAAGACCGTTGAAAAGCCACTAATGCACCTTTATATAATAACGTGGCTTTAAGGGGCCCAAGAAGGTATCGCTGCATCATAAACATTACGTTCTCTTGCCCATATTACGCATATTATTAATGCATTAACCGTTGCCGAGCCTCTTACATACAATGATGAATTGCTTATGATTTTAATCGACGGCTACATACGGCTCCGTGCACGTGATTTTATTTATTGTCGCGATCAAAGTGCATAGCTACGTATCTGTAAATATATCTGTGAATAAATGCAATTCAGTTGAGACAGCGAGAAACTTCATTGCAATTAGCATAAAAATTACCTCTCAATTTGCTTCTGAGCGTGTGATTTGTTGTAAAATACGGCTTTGAGGCAATTGTGCTTAATAAATTGGCGTTAGATTGGCCGGGAAATGTTTAACGCAATTAGTATAATCGTGACGTACGATATTTTCATTTTAATATAAACGATAAGATACAAGACTTTACAAACAAATAAAAATAAATTCCATTGGAGACGATTGATTTCAATTTCAATTTAACCTATGTATGTAAATTTGGCTTAATATATCTATAAATCGATATAATAAACACTCGAGATGTAAAAAAAAAAAAAAAAAAAAAAAAAAAAAAAAAAAAAGTTAAACGGAAAATTGCTTGTGTTGAAACGCGCATTGAAATCAATCGGCGCGATGTACAATACGCGATAGTACGACGTACGACATTATATCAACGCAAACGTAAAGGTACAACATATATAAATGCACGCGAGCGTCGAGTGCTGTGAGAATTCTGGAGAAAAAATTCTGGAATAAGAAGGATGGAGTCCATTCATTTCGAGAAAGGCCTACCAATGCGTAAAAATACCATCGATCATCGTTATAAATTTTAATGATATCTTAGCACATTTAAAATGTAAGATCGAAGATCATGATATCTTTTATGCCGGGGATTAAGCTAAAGTACTTTTAATTATTGGAATTGTAAGGAAATCAATCAATGCATTATGGGATAGCGGTAGAGAGCTTATCAACACACACCTCGGATAACGAAACAATATCAATGCGTGTCAGCTACTTCATTGGAATGTCCATTTCGAAATTTACGCATTTAATCGTGATAAAGCTTAACTTTGCCCTCAAAGATACCATCCTCTCAGTTTAAAGTACCAGTCCTCTTCGAAATAATATCGAAAATAATTCACCTAATGAAACTCACTCCAAGATGGAAGCTTGCAGTCAATTACATTGGGCAACGGGTATCAACAACATCAGCAGCAGCAGTAGCAGCGGCAACAACAGCGATCCCAGTAGTTGGGTGGTCGGGGGGAGGTGATGGGGATGGGAGTCGGGGTGTATGGGAATAGGGGGAGTTGGTAGAAGTTAAAAACCATAGCACGTATGATTATTGGTAGAATAAAAAAGTGTCGTGAGCTAACGAACCGGAAGGCTCTTTCGCGAATCCGTCCCAGTCGCGCTGATTAAACGGCTCAAGGTGCTGCGCACAACGATTCTCGCGAATAATGATATCGTTTCTCGTCCTCGGCGCGTCAGGTGCGCGCGCGGCGCGGGCGTCGAATTTCGTGCGGGCGGGTCTCTCCTTGGCCTTTGAATCTCGTTCTCCGGTTACATGTGCGCACGTCTCGCCTCGCCTCGCCTCGGCGCCGACAATCCGAAATGGATGTGTCGGACAATGGGAGCGCGCTCGCGCGCGCGATACTGGCACGAGTGGGGCGGGGTAGAGGGGGAGAATAGAGAGAGAGAGAGAGAGAGAGAACCAAACCCCGCTAGGTTCTGTATGCCCGTCGCGGCTGCCGACCGCAAAAACGACTAATGGCCTCGCCTAATTGGCCCACTTCGACCTACTGCACTCCCAATGGTGCTTTCGCTTTTTCCTTCCATTTATTTTTCATTTGTTTTATTTATTTATTTATTTATTATTATTTATTTTTTTTTTTTATTTTTACGGCTTCCCACGCCGAATTCCAGAATCTGTTTATGGAGATTTCGGGCGCCACTGCGCTTTTTCCATCTTACTCGCTAATGAGGAAAGTTGCCGCTATTGCACCGAGCTCGCGTGTCGCGTCATTATCTCGAATTGCCTCGCGCAGTGGAATTTCAGTCGCGAAGTGGAATTGTTGAATTGGGCGAGAAATTTGTAGCGAGTAGCGTATAAAAATAACAGATTAAAATTATTTCTATTGTCGTTACTATTGTAATTGTTATTACCATCGTTGTTATCATCATTGTTGGAATTATTATCATTATTGGTGCCATTTTTCATTATTATCATTATCGTTTGTGAATTTGTTCGGACTGTTGGTGGCATTATGTATAGAAAAGCGGCAGCTTTTACAATTTATTTTTTCTTCTCGTATTTTAATATGTCCTAAATTAATTTGATTTTTACTACAATTAAATGTTTATTACTTTTATGTTTAGTTGTTTATTTATTTTGCGATACCTCGTTCTTCGACAGAGTTTTTTCGACGGATAATACGGATAGAGGATTAAAGAAATTAAAGAAAAATGCGGCGATGTAAACTTAAGTTAATAATTATTATGAAAATTTAATTAAAAATGTTTGTTAATCCGCAGTTTGCAGACAGCATTTTGTTTTCCAAAAACCATTTACGAGAATACATTTTATCCCGGTATCACCTTAATTCACAATTAATCGCTTCCGCTTTGTAACGAATAACGCATATGCAAATAATTGCAATATATATTTAATTCAATTGAAATCCCTTAAAAACATAACGCACCATGAAATGAATATAATGATCCGGTCTAAAGCTCTACGTGGCAAGAAATGAAAGTTCCGGGCACCGCTTCCGTGGACGTCAATGTAGAGGAAGTGACGACCCGAGCTTTCGATGCTCTCGAGAGAACTTCAACAGACGTCATAAGAGTTAAAGAGGGAGAGTTTAAAGATTTATTTATAGACTGTATAATACAGATTATCTTTGCAACTACTTTAAGCATGTGTGATTTGTGTTTGTATTATTTAAATAGCTAGTTGGATAAATAATTTGGACGACGATGAACGTACGATGGGTGATAGAAAGGGAAAAAGAAAATTATAAAAATTATAAAGAATCGGCAAATAAAATGGACACGCGACATTAACGAAAATGCTTGTAAGCTGATTAGTAAGAATTATATAATAAGTGAAATAATATAGAGTAAAATTTTCACTTATAACCTATAAGATTTATTCGTGAAAATATCCATACGTTCTCGTGAAAGTACATTTACTTAAGTGGCTGTCGATGACTCGTAATGCGCTAAAAAAAAAATCTGTCTATCTCGCAATTAGTCTAACAAGACTTTATGAAACTGATCTTGAAAAATATATTCTTCGCTGCTAGCGAATGGATTGATAAAAGTGACGAACCGGACTCTACGATGTAAACAACAATATTAGTTTCTTAAGTATTATCCTGTGTATATTCGACGTGTGATGGCTATCTAAACCACTAATAATGCCACGAAGAGAGGAAAAGGATGGATAAAGCGTGAACCGCTCCAGC